GGGGGCATTGCCCCAGATAGTCAAACAATAGTTAATAGATGGTAAAATAGAAGCATCGTAATATAGTTTTCTGGTATGTAGAGGGAGAAATTTCTTAATCCTTCGAAGAGTAAATAACTTATAATTTATCGTTTTACAAACCGAATCAATATGATTTGCATACTGTAACTTATCATCAATATGTACACCAAGAATTTTTTCAGTTTCAACCATTTCAATTCTTTTGTCTGAGGCATAAATTTGTAAATTTGGATTATCTAATTTTGATTTTCTTTGCTGTGTTCCCATTAACATACATTTTGTTTTATCTACGTTTAAAACCATTTGATTTTGAGCACACCATTTCTCAATCTCACAAAGATCTGAATTTAGTGTATTTTCTAAACATCTTGCATTATTATTATTAGAATACAGAGTTACATCATCAGCAAACATATCAATATTTGAATTGTTTACATGTAACGGAAGGTCATTTATGTACAATAAAAATAAAAGTGGGCCCAAAATTGACCCTTGTGGCACTCCTGCTGTGACGGGTAGAATATTGGAGACACATGATCCAAATTTAACACACTGGGTCCTATCGTAAAGATATGATTTAAACCACTTTATAGCTGTTTGGTCAAATTTGTAATGGGTTAATTTCTCTAGAAGAATATCATGATTCACTAAATCAAATGCTTTACTAAAATCTATAAATGTAATACCGATTAGTTCACCACGATCCATTGCAGTAAGCCAACTTTCTGTTAGTTTTGTAAGTGAAGTTTGACAGGAATGGAGTTCCCTAAACCCCGACTGGGATTGTGTTAGTAGATCAAATTCATTAGTGAAATTTTTTATTAGCTTAGCTACATGTTTTTCTATCAATTTAGATATAGTTGGTAGAATAGAAATAGGACGATAATTATTCGGGTCAGCTTTGTCACCTTTCTTAAAAATAGGTGTTACTTTGGCTTGTTTTAAATTTGTCGGGAAAATACCACTTACTATGCTAGCGTTAATAAGATGAGTTATAGGTTTACATATATATTTAGATGTGACTTTCAGAAGACGCGGCCCAATAAAGTCAATGCCAGCTGATTTATTGATATTTAGAGAATTTAACATGTTAAAAACTTCACTTTCTTCAATTTGTTGAATACTAAACAAGGTTTCCTCATCAAGCTTAGACCTAACAAAATTACATAATATATTAGGATCATAATCATGTTTTGGCATATCCAAAAGAAGCTTGTTAGAGACATCCGTAAAGTGGTTATTAAAAGTATTTGCAATATCCTGCAAATTGTCAACAATTTCCCCATTAGAAGACACATGAGATGGAGTTGTATTCTTAAGATTACATGTTAATTGATTAAGATAGTTCCACATTTCTTTCGGATTTGAACTATGTTCAATCGCTGTTTTATAGTAAGAAGATTTTGATTTGTTTATAAGAACGCTAACTTTGTTTCGATAAATTCTATAGTTCTCCATGTCTCCTTCTTTGTGGTAAAAGTCCCGTAAATGTCTAGCATTGTTTATTTCTTGTGTCATCCATTTAGGACGGATTTCACTCTTTACTCGTTTTGTTTTAACCTGTGCATGCTGGTCAAGTACGCTATTAAATAATTCATAGAATTCAGTTAGTATTTCATTAGGGTCATGCATCTGGAGGAGATTGTTAAATTCTACATTTTTTAAGTCTTGGAGGAATTTATTTTCATCAAACTTTTTGAAGTCTCTATACTGGATTTCTATGTGTTTTCCTTTTTGCGGCATGCATTTTGTTTTTCTAGTGGCACATATTGGGTAGTGATCAGAGATGGCTATAAAAGGTATATTTACTTCACACATGTTATCTGGTTTATTGGTGTAAAAGTGATCTATTAGGGTACTTGAGGTATTAGTTACTCTGGTTGGTGCTGTAATTAATTGTGAAAAACCATACTCTTCCATAGCATATGTCCAACTTTGTGGGGGTTCTTTGAATAAGTCTACATTAAAGTCACCTGTTAAGATAATTTCTGCATCGTCACAGCAGGAGGCACAGTTAATCTCTCTAGCCAGGTCCTCTGCCCAGCAGGAGGGAGCAGATGGTGGACGATATGCTGAACAGTAATAAATTGGTTTAGAATTTTTAATCTTTAATTCCAGCCAAATTGTTTCAATATTACTGATTTCAAAATCAGGCCTACATTTATATCTTCTATTATTCAAATTAAGACGATAAATTCCGCCACCTGCTCTCAATGCGATCTTTTCTTTTCCATATCAAAACCCTCAATATACAAAATACGGAATCAGTGACTTGATCATTCAAAAAGGTTTCACAAAGTCCTAAAATATTTACAGTTTGTTTGTCATGAAGTAATAGTTTAATTTCTTCAATTTTAGGCAATAAGTGGCATATGTTTAGATTTTCCAAATCTTAGACCTTTTTTCACCAAACCAAACCCATTATTGCTCGGTACATGTTGTACATGTATATTCTCATTTTTAGATATAGTATGATTAGCAGATTATGAAACCTTCTTGGTATGAAATCTATGAGTATTCTTGTCTGGTTTTGAGAATTTAGAAGTATTTGGTGAAGTAATTAAATTTTTTGAATTTGTTACAAGATCTAGAGAAAAATATTCACATTGTTTGCATGAACAGTGGATCTTATTACATTCTGAACATAATCTACTAAGAGTCGAATAAACATTGTTGTCAATAGGAATCGTTTGGGAACTATGGTCGGCTACACATTCGTTGCCAGTTTCCTAGTGTCCATTCGGACAAAGCTTGGTTTTATGACCTAGTTCCCCACAATTCCAGCAGTCCAACTTTCTTCCATGTCTGCAGTGTCGTGATATGTGTCCACTTTCCCCACAGAAATAACAGAAGGCTGGACGGCGGAAGGAAGTACTGCCAAGTATTTCCGATTCTTCACCATTCGTACGCACGTTTCCGACTTTGAGGATACTCACGTATTGATGGAAAATTTTCAGCAGGTCTGCTGTACCTCTGTCTGACAGATGAATGTTGTCCTTCCAATAATACTCTTGTTTGGGATTTCCACAACCAAAGAATTTAGAAGTTGGAATCACTGTACCACCATACATTTCACATACACTTTTAATAATTCCATTAACTTCATTGGTGTTTGTATCACGCCTTGGTAATACTTCCGAGATAAATACACTGATACTAGAATTCCGATTTCTGAGATCTGTGATTACTTCTGCGAAATCATTTTCTATTGCCTCTGGGTCTCGTCGTCTAGATGCATCATTTCCGCCAGCCAAGATGATTACACTACGATATGAAGAAACATCCATTTTTGAGAGCTTGGACCGTCTAGGGACACGTTTGCCCCGCGATTTGTGTTGACCTGCACAGTTGAACACAATCCTCTGGTGCGGATCCTTTGTAGTATGGAACTTCCTATGATGAGGACGGATTTATCCATTGGGGTCTTTCTAGGTTGAATTGTTCCATGTTTGGTGTTTGAATCTGGCGAGGTAGGAAAACTCCTAGTATGAGCTTCACTGGCATCTGTCATGGTACTACTGGATATTGTAGGAGCCTTAAGGGTGCATTGGGTATGTCTAGATACACCAGGTGGAATGTGAAAGAGTCCGTCTGTTGATGTCTCCTTTTGTTTTGTCCTATTAGGAGTTGTTTGGGTAGCTCTTGAAACAAGCGATGTGACATTTTTTTGACCCATTTAGTTGCTGTTTTAGGTCACTGACTTCTTGTGACAAAAGCTTGACGGTATCAGACAATTCCTGAATAAGTTTGGCACTGCTAATACACTGATGACAATTCTGTGATGTCTTACCCTTAGGGGTGGAGGTGCATTGAGGAGATGTTTCATCTAGAGTCTTACAATTTGTTTCCAAATTTACATCCAATTTATTCAAGTCCGTGAGGAACTCCTGATACCAAGAAAAATACGATTCCCCTTGGATATGTAGAGAGCTTGTTGTCTCGTAGATGGTAACAGTGACAGTTTTATCCTGTGACTTATAAATAGATCCATGTCGCCTTTCATTGCTGTCTTTGAATAAAAGGAGTTTCTTCTCCAACAGATCTAAAATGATGGGGTACTTGTCGCCATCGAAAGTAATTGTAACACTTTCCTGATTTTCCTGTACTTGCAAGAAATTTGGCACATCATTTACACTAAGTCCCACAGATTCCGTTGGCAGATCATTAGTTAATATAAATGATCTTGAAAATCCGGTAAATGAGTCCAAAAGTGACTTGAAAAGATTAGAATTATCACTCAGACTCATTATTATTCCATTGTTAAGCTAAGTAGAGATAAGATCTTCAGGAGCTGTAAAAAACACGTCTGGTCACCTTGACTGCTTATCTATCTGTGGTGATTATAAATGTTCAAGACCATATAACCAAACAATTTTATTTTTTTCAGGAATCAGGCAACTAAATTTATGTGTTTTCAAACATTAATCATGTCTTGGCAATGTGTTTAATTAAATTAATAATTCGTACAAATTTGTCCTACCATGTCTCTATCAGATGGAGCAAAACAAATGTTCAATCTAATTCTCCCCGAAGAATGATAGATGAATGAAATTACTAGAGAGAAACAAAGCAATAAGAGTTGTTAATGACAGATAATTTATGTTTTACAGGTTCTAAAATTGCAGAAAAATGTTAAACATTAATGAAAGCTCAGGACCCTTGTATTTTCTTAAAGTATTTTTACTAACTTTGCAAATGAACAAACTTCATTTTAATAGTTAAAATTAGAAATACAATTACTCACATATTGTACAGCAAGAAATTGAATGCACCATTACTAATTTCAGAAAAAATAAAGAAGCAGGCTGATCTGAAATATAAATATATGGAAGACGTAGAATATGCTAAATCTTTGAGCAAAAACAAATTGGCACCACCCCACACCTTGAGTTTGCAGAACCCTCCAGCTTCATGTGAAGAGGTGCCTACCACAAGTGATAAGCAAGGACAAGAGAGGGTACCACCCCACACCTTAGTAC